TTTTTTTATTAAAATTTTGGTGTGTACAGGAAAAAAATTGAAAGTGAAAACATAGATAAGAGTAAGGTGATGGGGGTATCAAATGATTTAGATAGGGAAAAAATTTTGGACGTCAGATCACAGGAAAGAGTATGGAAGAAGTGAATATTTCAGATATTTAGGGTATATATTACTAAATGTAAAAGGAGAAACTTTCGTTTTTCCTTTTGGGCCACCCCTCCTCGGTGGGATACAGCCAGTGTGTTGAAAGAAAGAGATTTAGGAGTAGACTTGTTGGCAGATGGGTTTATGAAGGATGAGATAAACCATAGAACTGATGAACAAGAAAAGGTGGGTGGTGCACTGAGGTATCTGTGGAAACAAAGAACATTATCCATGGAGGCAAAGAAGGGAATGTATGAGAGTGTAGTGGTATCAACACTTATATGGGTGCAAAGCATAGGTTGTGAAATGTTGCAGTGAGAAGGAGGCTGGAGGCAGTGGAAATGTCATGTCTAAGGGCAATGTATGGCATAAATATTATGCAGGAATTCATAGTGTGAAAGTTAGAAGGTGTGAAGTTACTAAAAGTATTATTCAGAGGGCTAAGGAGGAGTTATTGAGGTGGCTTGGTCATTTAGAGAGGAAGGAGCAAAATAGGATGGCTCAGAGGGTGTATAAATCTGTAGTGGAGTGAAGGAAGAGTAGGGGGTCTTCCCAGGAAAGGATAGAGGGAGGGGAGTAAAAGAGGTTGTGTGTGCAAAGGGCTTGGATATACAGCAGGCATGTGTGAGCATGTTAGATAGGAGCGAGTGGAGACAAATGGTTTTTGGGACTTGACGAGCTGTTAGAGTGTGAGCAGGGTAATATTTTTTGAAAGGATTCAGGGAAACTGGTTAGCTGGACTGGAGTCCTGGAGGTGGGATGTACAATGCCTACATTTTAAAGGAGGGGTTTGGGATATTGGCTGTTTAGTGACATCTGAACTGTCGTATCTCTGCACCTCTGCAAAGACGGTGATTATGTGTGAATGATGATGAAACCGTTTCTTTCTGTTTTGGGTCACCCTGCCTTGGTGGGAGATGGCCAGTGTGCTGAAAGAAAGAATTTGGTTAAATGTCAATTTTCTTGACAGAAGTTGTCTAAAGCCAAGACAACAGTGCATCAGTGTTTGCAATTGAGTGAATAGAATTCTTGGCTTCATATCAAGAAGAAGAAATAACAGGAGTCCTCAGGTTACTCTTCAACTCTATACAGGAGGCCCTCCACATTTGCAAGGGTTAGGGGATCAAAAAACTCACGAATGTTTGGTGCACAAATATGATATAAGGAAATATAATACTGTTCTGTAGCGTTCGTGAATGTTCTCATGCGCAAATATATTGTAGGGAAATACAATAATAGCATTGTTTATGCATGTTTATGGCCTACTTTTACTGGAAAATAATTCCCACTCTCCTACAAACTTTAACCAGAGCCTAACTATCCTCATAAAAAACTCTTAAGTACTTTCAATAACCTACCACCTTTTTCCATACTTTTTGCAGCATGTCACATTACTCCCCCATACACTCTTAATAAGCCTTTTCTAAATTCATAAATCCAAAGACAACTTCCTTACTTTTACTAAATATTGGGTTCTTAATTGTGGTTTATTAGCCAAGTAATAAGAAAAATATCAGTTTTTTTGTGATGCTGAAATTCAGTGGAGGGCGGTGCCATATAAGAGAGGCCTCGGAACATAATTATTTAACAGGTCATGAAAAATTCATTTCGTAATTTGGAAGTTTAAGACAATTCCCAAATATTGTACACCCCCCTCCCTTTATTTGTGCATTAATTAGAGAGTGTGTGAGTGAGGAGAGAGAGAGGAGAGGGGAGGAGAGAGAGAGAGAGAGAGAGTGAGAGTGAGAGTGAGAGTGAGTGAGTGAGTGAGTGAGTGTGTTGTGTGTGTGTGTGTGTGTGTGTTGTGTGTGGGGTGTGTGTGTGTGTGTGGGGTGGTGTGTGGGGTGTGTTTTGTGTGTGTGTTCTCACCTAACTGTAGTTGCAGGGGTCGAGACTCAGTTTCCTGGCCCCGCCTCTTCATTGAACACTACTAGATCCTCTCTCTCCTTGCTCCACGGCTTTATCATCCCTCGTCTTAAAGTTATGTATGGTTCCTCCCTCCACTACATCACTCCCCAGACTGTTCCACTTCCTGACCATTTCTATGACTAAAAGAAATGCTTCCTAACATCCCTGTGACTCATCTGAGTCTTCAACTTCCAAGAGTAAACCCCTTGTTTTGTGTCCCTCTCTGGAACATCTTGTCTCTGTCCACCTTGTCTATTCCACACAGTATTTTGTATGTCGTTATCATGTCTCCTGTAACCTCTCCTGTCTTCCAGTGTAGTCAGGCCAATTTCCCTTAACCTTTCTTCATAGGACATTTCCCTTACCCTTTGGAACTAACCTTGTCACAAACCTTTGCACTTTCTCTAATTTCTTAATGTGCTTGGACCGGTTGCGGTTCCAAACTGGTGCTGCATACTCCAGTATGGGCTGATGTACAGGGTTTGTACAGTGTCTTGAAGTTTCCCTTTTACTTAGGTATCGGAATGCTAATCTCGGTTTACCGGGGCGCCCATATGTTGCAGCAGTTATCTGGCTGATGTGTGCTTTTGGAGACATGCCGCTGTATGGGAGTGAATGTGTGTGTGAGAGTGAATGTATTTTTTGTACCTCTGTATGTGTGTTCCAAATTGTAAATAAATAAATAAAAAAAATAAATGTATGTATGTGAGTGTGTGTGTGTGTGTGTGTGTGTGTGTGTGTGTGTTTTGGGTGTGTGTGGTGTGTGTGTGTGTGTTGTGTGTGTGTGTGTTTTGGGTGTGTGTGCTTTGTGTGTGTGTATGTGTGTGTGTACGTTTGTGTGTGTGTACGTTTGTGGTGTGTGTACGTGTGTGTGTAGTGTGTGTGTGTGTGTACGTGTGTGTGTGTGTACGTGTGTGTGTGTGTACGTGTGTGTGTGTGTGTACGTGTTGTGTTGTGTGTACGTGTGTGTGTGTGTGTGTACGTGTGTGTATGTGTGTGTACGTGTGTGTATGTGTGTGTGTGTACGTGTGTGTGTACGCGGTGTGTGTGTGTGTACGCGTGTGTTTTGTGTACGCGTGTTGTGTGTACGCGGGTGTGTGTGTACATGTGTTTTGGTGTGTACGTGGGGTGTGTGTGTGGTACATGTGTGTGTGTGTGTGTACGTGTACACATACATACTTGAATTGACCCTGAAAACTCGGTTTGTCCCAAATTATGCGTTTTACCATGTCAGTTTACGAGCAACATGGGGAACCACTACCACTGGATACATAAAGATAAAAAACAAATAGTACTTACTAAGAGCCACGATGGAGCTTTTCACAACATACACTTCTCCAGAAACATGGATTCTGTATTGGTAGTTCACCCCAAGTGATACATCGGTGGATCACCTAAAGTACAGAAAGGTTAAGAAATAACATAACTCTATTACATTCATAAATTTAACTCAGATTTTGTGCCATTATAATTATTGTTATTATAATATTCATGGGGAAGCACTAGATCCAATCAGGTCATACAAAGTTGAGGAAGGGAAAGACAATCAGGCTTGATCTGAGGAAGAAGAGGGTAGCTTGAATTTCTTGGTTTAAAAAGATTTTTACCAGCATCTTTAAGTGACATCATGTCCTATGCAATCATATCTCAAAGCCACTAGAATAACCTTTCACACTTATCTAATGCTGTGCAGCATACTATTTTCTGCACACAGCCTCCTTCCTATTTTTTCACCTTGTAAATTTGTTTTCTATTTGTCTATAACATCAGATAAATGTCAGTAGAATTTTGCAAGATTTGCTTGTATGTTTACATGTTTATGTAACAACTTTAAATTAATTCTTAAACCCAAAGTCAGATAGCTCTCTGCAATAATATACAGTACTTACCAATGATAAGCAATGCATCTCTGTGTGTCATGGCAGCTGTAAATGGCTCTGTACAGAGGCCCACACCTTGTCCCTCAGGTTCCTCCTGCAAAATTCGAGCAATATAAAGCAACTCTGCCCATTTTTTAACTTAAAATTTATAAGATTACAGCTGTTATCCTACCTCACCTAAATTTTAAAAAAGCCTAGCTTATCTAATTTACAATATACCACCCTCCTCCTCTCAAGATGAAACCCAAAACAGTCAGGTAACATTTGAGTTACTTGTTTACTACTAGGTGAGAAGGGGCAACAGATTTCTTTTTTTTAAAACATCGGCTGTTTCTCACCAAGGCAGGGTGGCCCATAAAAGAAAATACACTTTCATCTCATTCACTCCGTCACTGTCTTGCCAGAGGCTTTCTGAGACTACAGTTAAAAAAACTGCAAACGTATCTTCACCCTCCTTCAGGACTGTACTTCCCACCCCCAAGACTCAAGTCCAGGTAACCGGTTTCCCTGAATCTTTTTCATAAAGTTACTTTGTTCACACTCCAACAGCATGTCAAGTCATAAAAACCATTTGCCTGTACTTGCTCCTATCTAACATGTTCATGCACGCTTGCTGGAAGTCTAAGCCCCTTGCACACAAAACCTCCTTTACCCCCTCCCTCCAAGCTTTCCTAGGATGACCCCTACACTCCCTTCCTTCTAATACAGATTTATATGCCCTTCAAATCATTCTATTTTGTTCTGTCCTCTCCAAATGTCTGAACCACCTCAACAACTCCTCCTCTGCTCTCTGGATCAAAACTTTTTAAAAACCCCGCACCTCATTTTAATCTACAAACTATGGATTCTCTGCATAATATTCATACCACACACACTGCCCTCAGACACGACATCTCCACTGCCTCCAGCCTTCTCCTTGTTGCAACATTCACCACCCATGCTTCACACCCATATAAGCACGTTGGTACTGCTATACTCTCACAAATTTCTCTCTTTGTTTCCCAGGGGTAACGTCCTTTGTCTCTACAGACTCCTCAGTGCACCATTCAACTGTTTCCCTCTCTCAATTCTTGGTTCACCCCATCTTTCATAGACTCATCTGCTGAAAGTATGTCCAAATATCCAAACACATTCCTTTCTCCATACTCCCTCCTCCAGTCCGACATCCAATCTTTCAATGGATATCAGATTGAACTTTAGTCCCTCAGTTATGAATATGAAAGGGGTACCACTGAGCTATGAGCCACTTCACTCATATATCATAATCAACAACTGATTTCTAAGTCAGAGAACAAGCAGAAAGGGCAATGATCCTCACAACCTTTAATGTACAAACTAGATCATAAATTATTGAACATCCTTGGGAAGGAGGGTGCACCAGATTTTTAGCTCACAGATAACATCATTTTTTATAATCCCTTTTTTTTTTTTTTTTTTTCTGCACATTCCCTTCGTGTCATTATTTGTGTAGGTGCTGAAATGAACAAAACTTAATCTGTTTCTATATTAACAGATATAAGCTTTATAAAACAAAAGAGTTCACAAAATAATTATTGTTAAAACCAAAGAAAAAGAGCGCTAAAAACAAATAATAAAATTACTATATTTAGCAGACAATATTTTCCTCAATCTTTGAGTTCTGTCTTTTAACCCATAAGTGCTTGCCTCCGGCATTATAGTGGTTTTGGTTGTCCCCTACAAAATGGGTGCCGAGTTTGGCATCCAGGACTGTAAGTTGTATAGCACTTCAGCTTAAAAAATGCCCCTTATCTGTGTGTAGCCTCATTGCAAAATGGAGGGAAAAGAACCCTTACCCAACACCTTAACCCCCCACACACACCCACACTTTCCATGCCCAATACCAACAACCTGCCCATACACTGTATGCCTACATGCTAGGGGTTTTTACTTTGGATCAATGCTTTTTGCCTGAAACATCAGGGATTCCAGCTTTGCCCAGCCCCCCCTTTGCCTACCCTAGCCCCCACCTCCACCAGGCCCTGTCAATATCCATCCCTGGACCCCACCTTCACCCATCTCCTACAACTGCCCTTCACTCATACTTCTTCCTCCCTGACGCTATCATGGACCTCCATCTCCCACGCTTGCATCCACCTCTTCCCTAAACACTTATCCTCACCCACATATCCTCATTTATCTACCTATACCCATTTCTTCAAAGCAACAAAAAATAATTTCAGTTTGCTACTTTGGTAATGTGTCAAGCAATTCTAAGTTGAAGACCGTACAAATTTACAACTCCACGATGCTCCATGCTTCAAAAGGCTATTTGGAGGTCAAACTAGTCAGCATGAATGATAGGAATTATTTACTGACTGATTTAAGCATCACTTTTCAGAGCAACTGACACTGACTCAGACCTTGGAGTGCCAGACTTCTGGCATAAATTTCAGAATGCAGATGTCATCAACTATGTCAAAAGTACAGGGACTGAAGTACCCTAATCAACATTAAATGCAAGCTAGAGACAATTGTGGCCTGGTGTGAATACCCTCACAGGCCTTTCCCATTGGTGGAGAGCCAGATCCAGGAAATTGTTCAGCTGGCAAAGAGACTGCCAGGTGAAGGCACTGAAGATATGCAACTGTGAATGAGCTCTTAAAAGTTGATAAGAAAGAAGTCCAGAGGAAATGTTTGCAAGGCTCAATGCCCAGATACAAGTGAGGCAGATAACAGATATAGATGATGAAGAACCTGAAGAAAAATGGTTAATATTGCAACAATTATGAGATCAGTTCTGTATTATAAGTAAAGCTGCAGAATTTTTACTGAAGAGGACCCAAACAAATCTAGAACTGCTCTAAAATGAGGTCTGAAGAAGTTAATGATGCCTTACCATCAGCTGTATACAGTACTGTAGGGTAAGACAGGAAAAGAGATGCATTAGAATCCCTCAGTATTATAGTACAACCATCAACATCAGTGCAAGAACTTTAGTCATCCACCTTAGCCAATGATCCACCTTGCACTCACAGCTCAGTAGAGCCAAACCATTGCTCTCTACTCCTTTCAAAATCACTGATATACACCAGCAACTAGAACTTATGGTAAGAAATAATATGTATGCAATCTTAGTAGCTATATGAATTTTATTAAATATTACATATCACTGTATCCACCTGCAATTACATTATTATCATTATTTATTAAAATTTTGAAACCTACATAATTTTTTTTTTTTTTGGGGGGGAGAGGTAAGCCAAGGAACATAAGCCTATTTTTTCTTCTATGTTCTTCACTTCATTACACAAAATTTTTCATTTACATACTGTTTTAAAGAACGTAACTACTGTGTTAATCGACAGTCAACTGTACGTACTTGCAAAAATAATTACAAGAGACACTAGAGACCCAATATACAAAGTAGCATTTAAGCAGATCTTTACCACCTTTTTATTCATATTCAGAGCTTTTGCTAATAAATTAATTTTCAGTATGATGTAATCATCTTGCAATAATGGAAATGATAATACTGTAATATGATACTAACCTCATAGTTTGGCTTCTTCCCAACACACTGAACTTGATGCCTTGGGTCACCCTGAATGTAGTGAATTACCCTCAGGCTTGGGGTACTCTCCCAGGCATAATCATATGTATATCGCAGCAGACGATGACTTGTATTTCCATCGTCTTCTCGAATATAACCATAGGTGCGTCTATATTTACCCTTCTTGTGTCCTGTCACATACCAGTCATAACAATCCATTCTTCTTATCTCTAGAAAAGTAAATAATTTGTTTTTTTAAGGTAAATTGTAATGTTGTAATTCCTTATAATACGTATAAGGTTTCCCACAGAAACTCCAGCTGAAACTATATACTGTACTAATATGAAATAAAACCAGCTGTAAAACGCTTGACACAAATTGTGTAAACAGCTTTACACTGTTCTAAAATATAAGAAAATTTATATTCTAACTTAATGATCCAACAGTACTTGTTTTACAAACTCACTGTTACAGTCACTGTACTTTGAATTTTTCACTGTTAATCTCCAGCCTATCCACTCAAGTCACTTTATATTTCCTGTTGGATGTACTGTACATAGAAGTTTGCAGTACATTTGGTTACAGTCTTGATACAATTATAATAAAAAGGCAGTCTGATGCAACTGAATGTCTGATACAAATGAAAGCTACTATGCATAGCATTTTGGCCAAACTAATCCTAGAACTTACATACTATTTAATTCTAGTCATGGCATATAATTTTAAGAAATTACAGATAATTTATATTGAATATATATCAGATCAACACTGCATTTTATGGAGTGGTTGAATTAAAGTGTTGACAATACTGTATGAGTATTACAGGCATTTACTGGGTATAACATTTAAGTCATATTTAACATGTATTTTTAACAATGTTTATGAATGGGTTATAATACACACGGTATATCACAATGATACTTGTTCCATGTATTCTGTTCGTATGTTGTGTTCCAGGCTTCGGCAAAAACAAAATTTGAAGCATTAGCAACAAATGGCCCTGATGACTCAACTAAATTTTCATACTCTGTCTTGCTTTTATTTCCCTCTTTATCTTTGGATTTGTTTCATAATAGTACTCAGTCATTTTTTCAGAACTTGCAAAGAGCTACTTTGAACATGACAACTATATTATATTGAAGAATAAATCTACCATACTAGAATAATTCTTATAAAAAATTAATAAGAAAGAATTTTAAATACCTCCTCTTCTGTATGGTATTGCAACAACATACACATCCCCAGCCTGAGGCTCAAGGAGAGGCAGGAAAGATACACGACTGACATCTGGGTTACCTAGAAAAGTTTAATGTTAAGTAGTACCTGGAAGAAAAGAATATTTAACTCTGTATATACATTATGTTTTGAAATTATCAAATTATATTTATTTAACCAATTACTTACATACAAATACATACATCATACATCATACATTTT